CCAAACTAAGTGTGCATAGGTTTCACAAGGTGGACTAACTATTCCAACCATTTAAAACATGTTCCAAACATTGTAAGACACTTAAAAATGAGCAAACACAGACATCGTTAAGTGAAATTCCCCCATAGAGAACATCGTTAAACGATGCTGAAAATTCCTCAAAGAAACCCATTGCAAAGCGAATACATCGTTAAACGAAGCAATCGCTAAGCAAGGCACCACTGTAAATGCCCAAATATCTGCTCCTTGTCTTGCTTCTAGGGTTTCTTTGTGTCCCGGAGAAGGAGCTAGTCCCTCCAACTTGTTTATTGTAAGAGCCTTCATCTCTGGCAGCAGAAATCCCACTTTTTTTGGTTCCTAAAAGTTAGCTTTTCTTTCTCCCCCCCCCCTGCCCACCCCCACAACTTTTGGGTGGGATTTGGTAGGGTGCCACAGAAGCTGCAAAAGCAGCTTTAGAGACTCGGTTGCCTCTCGTTAGCATCAAGAGTGGTTGAGGTCCCTGGCTGCCAAGCCAGAGGTTGGGAGTTCGATTCCCCCTCGGTGCTTCCTTGACAGGAGCCGGACTTGATGATCCAGAGGGTTCCTTTCAGCTCTGCCATTCTAAGATGATGATGATGATGATGGTAGTGGTGAGAGAAAGATTCCAGCTGTTGCCATAGGCGTGTCCTGCATTGTGTTTTGGTGCAGCCCACCCACAAACAGGAGTTCCTGTGTGAGGAACCCAACCACCCTCAGCATGACTCAGGTGGAAAACGTGCAAAATTTCATAGTTCAACTATGCTTCGGGGCAACCTTGCCCTTTAGATTTCTTGTCCTCGGCTTTCCCTGTTGGTTCAGCAATACTTTACAGCGGTGCCTTGACTTACGAACACCCCGATGGACAAACATTTTGACTTTTGAATAGCTCTGTTCACAAAATTTTGCTTTGACTTGCAAGCGGAGCTTTGACTTACAAACAAACAAAAAAGTGGGGAAAGCAGGAAATGGACTTGGGACTTCCTGGTATTGTAATTTTAAAATGTAAAAATTAGTTTTAAAGGTGCTTGGTTTGGTTTAAAGCTGCTTGGTTTTAAATGTGTTCTGTTTAAAACATGTTCATTCTCTCCCTCCCCCCTTTCCTGCCCTTTTTTTTAACCTAAGTCATTTTAGGTTAAAAAAGTTTCTTCCCCTAGTGGAAGAGGACGGATTAACTGGTTTTATTTATTTATTTATTTATTTTATTTTATTTTATTTATATGCCGCCCACTCTACCCAAAGGTCTCTGGGCGGCTCAAAACAGCCGGAACGGATTAATCGGGTTTTCAATGCATTCCTGTGGGAAATGCTGCTTTGACTTACGAACGTTTTGACTTACAAACACCTTCTGGGACGGATTAAGTTTGTAAGTCAAGGCACCACTGTACTTTCCTGGATGGCTGCAGGTAGGTAGCCTGGGTGGTTCCTACAGAGGATGAACCTGGGGAGCTGGAAAGGTGGTGGGTCTTCTTCTAGAGGTTTTGTCCTGTGCTCCGGGTGTTTTGGGACAGGGCTGTGGCTCCTTGGCAGAGTGTGTGAATTGCCAAAAAAGTGGCCCCGGTTTCTAACCCTGCTAAGAAAGAAGGATCTTTTGAAAGAGAGATCTTTTGAAAGAAAAGTGTAGAAGGGAGCTCCCAGTGAGGCAGGACCGTCTGACAACGTGCACTCATCTAGAGGGACCCGACCCACTGAGCTTCAGAGACTGGTGAGGAACTCAAGATGGGTCTGATTAAGTTTAGTGCTGCTCTCTGGAGACCCGACACGCTGAGCTTCAGAGCCTGGTGAGGAACTCAGGATGAGTCTGATTAAGTTTAGTGCTGCTCTCTGGATAGCTCGGCGATTTAGGTCTCGGGCTGCAGAGCCAGACGTTAGGAGTTCGATTCTCCACTGTGTCTCCTGGGAGAACAGCCAGCCTGTGTAGCCTTGGGCCAGCTACATCATCTCAGGGCAGCCTGCAGAAGAAGGGAATGATGAACCATTTCTGAGTATTTTCTACCTAGAAAAACCCAAAAAGAGTCTATAAGAATTGAATTGACATCACATGGTTATTATTGTTCTTAGTAACTTTAGTGGGGTGCTTTAAACTAGAGTGGGACAGAGAGGCTTAAAATGACAGGCTACCAGATGTATTCTTAAGACTGGGCTCTCTTTTTTTTTAATTAATAAAAATGAAAGTTACAAATAACAGAAATAAAGCTAAAATACAAACTCGGTAGGGACTACATGCAATACACAATAAACATTTCCCACTTGTGGCACTTTCATTCTTCGGACTAGATGACCAGTATGAGTTTATACCCCCCGCTTCTTTTTTAGAATTTTTAGCATGTATACATTACGGAAACAGTGAAAGTCTACGTTGGCTCAGGCATGTCGTGAGAATGGCTGATGGTTGGATTCTGAAAGTTTTCCTGTATGGAGAATGAGTGCAGGGAAATCACCCCAGAGGGAGACCACAGCTGCGGTACAAGGATATCTGCAAGTGGGATCTGAAGGCCTTAGGAATGGACCTCAAGAGATGGGAAACCTTGACATCTGACCGTCCAGCCTGGAGGCAGGCGGTGCATCACGGCCTCTCCCAATTGGAAGAGACCCTTGTCCAGCAGGCCGAGGCCAAGAGGCAGTCCCAAAAGCAGCAAAACCAGGGAGCTGGACCAGGGACAGACTGTATGTGTCTTCAGTATGGAAGGGATTATTGTCACTCTCGAATTGGCCTTCTTAGTCACACTAGATGTTGTTCCAAATCCTCCATACCGAGCACGTTAACATAGTCTCTTAAGACCGAAGGATGCCTAACCTACCCCTTTTCACCCAGTACCTCTCCAAAAAAATACATTAATTCTTCTGCTGGCCTGTGGCCTTTCCCCTTCAAAAAGACATATTCCAAATACATATTCCATACATCTTTGAAATCGTTAGACTTTACCATTCCTCTTCTTATGTTCATTTCGCCTGTTAACTTATCATTAATTGCTAAGCTCCACATTTCTTTATACCAGTCTTACAAGGTTAATTTGTTTGTCACTTTTCCAATTCTGTGCAAATATTAATCTTACTACTGTTGCCATAACAACTAACTCTTTCTGATCTTTTTTTCAAATAGTCATTCTTAATTATATTCAGGAGGACAGTAATTCGTGATATCTGAATACCACATCCAATGATTTCTCTAATTTCCTTAAAATCCAGTGCCCATTCTTTTTTATTTCACACATCCACCACATATGATAGTAGGTCCCTTTTTACTTTTTGCATCTCCAGCATTGAGATGGTATATTTTTATTTATTATATTCAGTCTTATCTCCATGCTACTTTATAACAATTTTATTTTACCCTTATAGACATATTCATTATTCTTTGTGACCATGTTTTATTCCAATCTTCTCCTTTAATGTTTCCCTCAAAGTCCTCCTGCTCCACATTGGGCCCTGTAGACCTTTCTCATACAGCATAAAGTTGGATAGAAAGAGGAGTAATAATATGCTTTTTCTAAATTCATCATGAGGACTAGAAACTTTCATAAAATAAAGTTCTACTTCTCAGAATTGCACCCTAGACTTTCTCATCCAGAGTTGTACTGGATGGCCTATGTTGACCATAGCTGATGTCAAGCTTTTGTTGTTTAGTCGTTAAGTCGTGTCCAACTCTTCGTGATCCCATGGACCAGAGCGCGCCAAGCCCTCCTGTCTTCCACGGCCTCCCAGAGCTGGGTCAAATTCATGTTGGTCACTTCATGTTGACCAACCATCTCATCCTCTGTCGTCCCCTTCTCCTCCTGCCTTCACACTTTCCCAACATCAGGGTCTTTTCCAGGGAGTCTTCTCTTCTCATGAGATGGCCAAAGTCTTGGAGCCTCAGCTTCAGGATCTGACCTTCCAGTGAGCACTCAGGGTTGATTTCCTTTAGAATGGATAGGTTTGTTCTCTTTGCAGTCCAGGGGACTCTCAAGAGTCTCCTCCAGCACCACAATTCAAAAGTATCAGTTCTTCAGCGACTAGCCTTCCTTATGATCCAGCTCTCACTTCCATACATCACTACTGGAAAAACCATAGTTTTGACTATGCAGACCTTTGTCGGCAAGGGGATGTCTCTAAACAGACAGCTTTTTAAGATGCTGTCTAGGTTTGCCATCGCTTTCCTCCCAAGAAGCAGGCGTCTTTTAATTTCGTGGCTGCTGTCACCACCTGCAAGCTAGCTTCCTCCTTCTAAGGAGAAAAGAGGAACAAGAGATACTTTCCCCAGGAATACAGCTTTCCCTGCAGAAAAGCCCCGTCAATGGAACCTTCATTTCCTCTTGCAAAGGGAAAGACAGAGATGTTGAAATCGAGTTGCAGAGAAAGGCTGTTAACCTTTCTTGTCTGGCAGAACAGCACATCACCTCGCCTTATTTATGTGACGGTTTGAACTGCATGGGATTAATCAATCACTTAATTACCATGTCAGACACCCATCAGGGCGCATTATTTTATTTTGGGAGGCTTCTGGTAAAGAGGCGTCATCCTCTTGTGCTCCCCGTCTGCATTTGCATCATCAGGAAGAACATCCTGTGCTTACAAAGACGGCGGCGCATAACGCTCCTGCGGGAAAGAAAGAGTTTAACCACTCCTCTCCCTTAAATAAGAAATAATTTGAGTTTTTATCCCATCTTCTTTTCCAAGGGAAACAAGCTGGTATAAGAATGATGATGATCTTAGAATGGCAGAGCTGGAAGGGACCCTCTGGATCATCCGGGTCCAGCTACCGTCAAGGAAGCACAGCTCCGAACCTCTGGCTCCACAGATATCTTAGCTACCGATGGCTATCATTAATGCATTCCACTGCCAACACAGACACATCGGTGAGGAAAGTTAGGCTGAGAAATGAAGGCTTTATTTAAAATATTTCCCCCCCACCTTTCTCCTTGAGAAGGACCCAAGGCAGCTTATTACAATGGAAGACAATATTTTAAGTTGAAAACAATGAATATGCAACGGTGGTTCACATCATTAAAAGACAATATTTAAAGCTAAGAACAATGGCTATAAAGAGGTATCTTATTTTGTTAAAAGGCAATATTAATGTGAGAATAAGTATACAAATGTTTAAAAATGAGAAATGGAAAACAATAATGGAAAATACAAGTAGTACTGAATATCTATTTTATTTGTTTGTTTGTTCGATTTATATCCCGCCCATCTGATATATTCTATCACTCTGGGCAGCTAGTCAAAGCAGTGGTGTATAATATCCATCTAAAAAGATGATGGTCAGGCAACCAGCCATTAAAAGAAAGCCTGCCTGAAGAGGTAGGCCTTTGCCTGCTTGCGGAAGGACAGCAAAGATGGGGCCAGGCTGGCCTCCAGTGGCAGGGAGTTCCAGAGTCTGAGAGCAGCCACAGAGAAGGCCCTCTCCCAAGAAGAAATAGCAAAACCAAACTGCCTTTTATTTGCCCTTAAGGAGAGGTTGGGTGATCTCCAAGGGTCAGCAGAGTGGCCTGGGTCTCTCAGTGTCTTAAAAGGCTCTTTTGATCATCATCATAATGCAATATTCAATGCATTCCTTTTTTTAAAGCTTACTTTATTTTAGACAACCCATCACATTACAAACAGATACTGTAATACAATTAACTTTTCATCCTACTACTTCAATATTTTAACATTCTAAACAACAGCTATTCACACCATTTAACAAATTACACTTAATTTCGAATCCCCATTCCATCTTAGAGAATTACCGATCAACAATCTGAGCAATCTGGTTTATTTCCTACATCATGTGATTTCTCCTTTAGTTCATTGGAGTATTTTAATAAAGGTTTCCAAGTTTTGTAAAATTGATTGTGCTTTATTTCTCCTCTGTATATTCTGATCTTATTAAGTCAGATTCTCCATCAACAGCGTTTGCCGTATCTCCTTCCAAAATGTCTGTAATGAATGATCTTGGGCGTTTTTCCATCATTTAGCAATCTCTCACCTTTCCATCCCTATAATATTTGCAATTAGGTCTTTATTAAGTAGCTTCTCATTTCCCCCTGTAAAAGCAGAAAATAATAGTAATGTTTTGTTCACAATTGTTTTTTTGGATCAATTGGACAGAAACATTGACTAATCAAAAATATTCAATGCATTCTGAACATTGAGGATAGCAGGGTTAATCATAAGAAGTCTTTAGGGTCGGGGAGACCACTGATAGTTCATGCTTAGGTCATGTAGACTATTTGTCTAGATGGGTGGGGTATAAATCTAATTAAATAAATGTGGGTTGCCGCAGGGCCCACCTCTAAGTAACCCCTTGACACTCAAAATAAGTGATTCAAAATATTTGATTTTGTCTCAATAAGTCTTCTTATGCCTTCTCGGGAATACAGAAGGAAATTTTTCAATGTTCTGAGCTGGCTACAGCCCTTCTGTCCCTTCTCTTTAATTTGTTTGTAAATTTTGACCACCAGAAGGTAGAAAGAGCGCTTTTCAATAGAAATATGAACTTGGGTGAGAGAGGAAAAAAAATTAGGGTGAGGGTCGTACCCATCAGAAATGTTGGCCATTCCCTTCTTCCGAGAGCGCTCTGGGAGGGTGCAGCTTGCCTGAGGGCCACGCAGACTGGATGGTTGAGCGAGATGGGTACCAGCAACACAACCACAGATTTGATAGTTTGAATCCCCAGGGTGTCACCTGGGAGAAAAGCCAGCCTCTGTAGCCTTGGGCAAGCTGCATGGTCTTAGGACAGCATCCTTAGAAGGAGGGAATGGTAAACCACTTCTGAGTACTTTTATCCTAGGAAACCCTGGAAAAAGTTGCAATTAAATTGATGGCATCTAATTATTAAGTGTCTAGTAGGGTTCAGTTATACTTAAGGCCCTCACTGTGCTATAATGCAGCAGAAATGATTTCAACCCTGAAAATGGCTGCTGACTTTGTCATAAAATCCATTAACACTCATTTCTTTCTTTCTTTTTTTCTTCTCTCCGGCAGTCCAAGGCTATCGAAACTCCCAGGCTGGGTCTTAAAGGATGGAAGCACTTTCCTTGACAAGGTAATGTACAGGTGGGATTCAGACACCCAGCAAACCTTGCTAATTAGCCTGTAGAAATGTTTCTGACCAAATGTTATTTAGCTGCAGAAACAAACAAGGCGGTTCCCCAAAGGAATTGCATGTTCAGGTCCAATCCTTTGAACTGTTGACGTCAGAGGTATCGAGACATGTCTTCACTTTGTTTTATTTTTCAGTGAAAGTTCTTGGAGGTGACACTCATCTGTGTTGTTTCCTTGTTGTTGTTGTTGTTTTTAACTCTTTGAAAGTGTCAGGAAATTCTGCGTTTTGCAACCATGAATAATATATTAACATAACTGTAGGATGAATAACCTTTCCCTTGTGTTGTTGGAGTTGTATTGGTATTTTTGTTTCCACGTTAAAATAATACCAACCGCGTACACTTTACAGAGGTTCCAGCGAGCTCAACTCAGATCACTAGAAGAGTTTATTGAAAATGGGGAGCCCACCAGGCTGGGCAGACAAAGGACCAGCCCTACCGTTAGGCAGTGAAGAGGCGTTTATCTTAAAGGGCCAGGAGCTGCTTGGTGGAAGAAGAGCAGCCGCGGAAGCTGTTCCCTTCTGCTGGAGGACAAGGCTCTGTGGTTTTGGAAGTCAGTCTAGCAGCCCTTAAGCTTGCTGGCTACCTACACGTGGAAGAGAGTGCCTCATCGCCAGGGCTGACGTATGGTTCAATGGTTCTTCCCATTGGTTCTTCTTCATGGTCTCCGTCATTCACACAAATGGACAGAAGTCCTTCCAGCCCTCCTCCATGCTTCGTTGGACTCCAGTGATTCTCACCATTGACGATGCTCACCGGGGGTTATGAGAACTGCAGTCCGGCCACATTTCCTGTGGCTGCAATGGGGCGTGAGGACTATCTTAGGCAGCACAAGGTCTTAAGCAAACCTTGGCTGTATCACAGATGAAAGCCGGAGGCTTTTATGGCCCCACCATTTTCCTGCTGAATGTGTGCCTGAAGATAAAAGGGAGAGAGAGAGTCTAGAGATAGAAGGAAAAGGGGGACAGAGAGATGTTGGCGGGGAGTGGTGGCATCCTGACGGATCATCCCTTCAGGGGTAGAAGGGTTGTTTAATAATAACCACATGCCATCAAGTCCATTTTGACTTATAGGAAACCCTTTGCAAGGTGTTTCAGATGGAGAGTACTCAGAAGTGTTCCCCCCTTTCCCTTCTTCTGGGGGCATCGCTGGGACTGTGCAGTTTGCCCAAGGCCACCCAGGCTGGCTCTACTCCCAGGAGGCACCATCAGGGATCAAATTCTCAACCTCTTCTCTGCAGCCAGATACCTAACCACTGAGCTACTTATAGCTTCTTTTCTGCCATGCTGTGCCCCCGATCACAATGTATTCCAATGTGGCATTCATGGGGGGAAAGAGATAGAAACTTGGGAGGGGGGGGGTTGCTGTGAAATGCTGGTACTTGGATATTCTACAGCAGCCTTAAGGGTTAGCGTATCAGTCAAGAAAAAGAAGAGCATTTGTTAACGGGCTAGGGCTCTTGAGCTCCCTGGCTGTCAACCACAGAGTTCTCTCCTGTTGGTCAGTGATGAGAGACAAAGACATGGGGTGGCGGAGCATCCGGGGGGCTTCCTCGGTTACACTTCCTCCGTTTATGCCAAAGACCATCCCAGGGAACCATGCTTTGAATTTTAGAGCCCTGTGCCATCACAAACACTGGCTTTCTCATGGCACGTTAAAATAGAGTAGATGAGCTTTTCAAGGAGCAAAGTGGGGACTAACAGAGAGAAAATATGCCTCGCAGGAAAGGAACCCTTTGACTAAAGAGAGACAAAGAATCATAAAAAAATTGAATTGGAAGGGGTCTATAAGTCCATAGAGTCGAACCCCCTGCTCAAGGCTTTGATCTAAATCAAAGCAAGTAGGACAGAGGGTGGTCCAATTTTGAATGCCTGAAGTGTTGGAGCACTCATCACCTCCCTTTGAGGTCATTGGTTCCATCGTTGTACTGCTCTAACAGTTGGGAAGTTTTACCTGATTTTCAGCTGAAATCTGGCTTCCTATAGCCTGAGTCCATTGTTGGGTGTCCTGCACTCTGGGATGGCAGAGAACAGATCCTGCCCCTCCTCTGTAGGACAGCCTTTAAAGTCTTTGAAAAATGCTCCCCTCTCTCCTCTTAGTCTTCTTTTCTCATTGCTAAATATGTCCAGTTCTTTCAGTCTTTCTTCATAGGGCTTGGTTTCCGGTCCCCTGGTCATCCGTGTAATACACCTCTGATCCTCTAGGTTAGCCATCCTTAAGTTGTTGATGTAATAAACAAATTCCGTGAATTTGTCTAATCTACAGTGAAATGGCAACTGTTCACCTTCTTTGCACCTTGTGGAAGTCAGTTTCTGGATTTTTACTGTGTAGTACATGAATAAAGATGTCCTTGTATGCCCAGAACTCTCCTGTCAGTCCATTCCCTTGGGTAAAGACAGGGTCTAATAAGAAAGGGTGGAAATTCTCGCCACTTGGAGGGGAATTTACGCCAGGGAAGTATTCCCAATGATGCACCTTGGGCATGTAAAACACTGGATCTTTCCAGATGTGCCACCAGTGGGTTGTGGACTTCAACCCCTGTGTTAGTCGATGGCACAGGAAACCCATCCAATGTACTGCTTCTAGCAGGCAGGTTTTAATTATGAGTCCCGGTGCCCTCTGATCTGGCCCCTGTATTGACCGTTGCGTCTGCTTAGAATGACAAATGAGCCGAGCAGTGCCACACAGAGACAGGGGTCTGGGGTCAGAGGTTGACAGCTGGCCCTCGGAAGACCAGAGTGTTTCTTGCTGGATTTCAATACTCTTGTTTGCAAGACTAAAGAAGGCATTGAAATTCATGCTGCTTGCCCATTATTCACCTTTTAACTTCTCTTGATGAGGTGAAGAGCCTTCTGCCATTAGATGTAATTGCTCATTTGTTCTAACTGGGCAAAACTGCTAGAATTTCTTAAGCATTGGATCTGGGCTTTGTGCCAAGGATGGAGGTGGGGGGGCAGAAACTAGGAGGATGTGTAAGGAATCTGCTCTTTTTACTGTATGGGGAAGTTCCTCACAAAGCCCTCTCTGTCTTGGTACTGTGTTAGTGCACATTTCCTTTCACTGTCTTAGTTGCTTCCGTAGCCCCTTCTCCAAACCCTTCTCAACAACCATCCTGCCAGGAATAAGCAGTGGATGTCATGCTTCATTGTAATTGGGGGGAACAAGTAAACCATGAGCCACAGGGACCACCCTCTTTTTATCCCTTAAGGAAGCCCCGCTGTCAATTTGCCGTTGAAATTTAGCTAATTGGTAGCCCCAAAGTAACAGGTTTGCTCTAAAGCACCATTTCCCCTTTAAACAAGGTGCACGCTCATTGTCCGTCTTGTTTACACCTACATTTGTGTTCCTATAAGCAGGCATCTACTTCCCCGTGGGAAAGGACCAATTGCACTTTTACTGTGAAATCCTCATTTTTTAAAAAAATCTCTGTGTCACCAAATTCTTTAAAGCACCATTTCCCCTTTAAACAAGGTGCACGCTCATTGTCCGTCTTGTTTACACCTACATTTGTGTTCCTATAAGCAGGCATCTACTTCCCCGTGGGAAAGGACCAATTGCACTTTTACTGTGAAATCCTCATATTTTTTTAAATCTCTGCGTCACCAAATTCTTTAAAGCACCATTTCGCCTTTAAACAAGGTGCACACTCATTGCCTGCCTTGTTTACACCTAAATTTGTGTTCCTGCAAGCAGGTATCTTCTAGTCCGTGAGAAAGGACTAATGACACTTTCACAGCGAAAGCCACTTTTTCCCCCCACCCCCATCTCTGACCCACTAAATTCCAGGAGGGAAAATGGGATCCATACCAGTGGAAATGGCCCATCTCTGCTTAAAACAGGGTAATCAGACCATTCAAGCAAGTGGCAAATGATGCGGGCATCCAATGGCAGAACAAGCTGCATGACTTGATGCCCTTGATGCCCAGCAGAACTTGAGGAAAAAGCGGCAGAGAAGATGAAAGCTTCTTAGGGTGCCATGAGATACAAAGATGGAACAGATGGAAGAAAGAGCAGAACTTGAGGAAAAAGCGGCAGAGAAGATGAAAGCTTCTTAGGGTGCCATGAGATACAAAGATGGAACAGAAAGCGCAGGCAAGGAAAAAGACCAGCGTCTGGTTTTTGTGGGCCCAGTAAAATCCAGCTAGAGCCCATTTAGAGTCTTGAGCTAATTGTGGTCCCCACCCTTCTTTTACAAGGCCATCTTTATAGCAGGATATCTGCCCACTGCTGCACAGTGTGGGGAGCAGCAGGCTAGCCTGCGAATTTCTCTCCTAGACCGTTGCCAACAAAGGTCCGCAGTGTCAAAGCTATGGTTTTTCCAGTCACGATGTATGGAAGTGAGAGCTGGACCATAAAGAAGGCTGACCGCCGAAGAATTGATGCTTTTGAATGGTGGTGGTGGAGGAGGCTCTTGAGAATCCCCTGGACTGCAAGGAGAACAAACCTATCCATTTGAAGGAAATCAACCCTGAGTGCTCATTGGAAGGCCACTTCCTGAAGCTGAGGTTCCAAGACTTTGGCCATCTCATGAGAAGAGAAGACTCCCTGGAAAAGACCCTGATGTTGGGAAAGTGTGAGGGTAAGAGGAGAAGGGGACGACCGAGGACAAGATGGCTGGACAGGGTCTGTGAAGCAACCAACATGACTTTGACCCAACTTCGGGAGGCAGTGGAAGACAGGAGGGCCTGGCGTGCTCTGGTCCATGGGGCCACGAAGAGTCGGACATGACTAAACGACTAAACATCAACAACAAAGACCATTGGTAGCTCGAAACCAGGGTTGATTGCCTTATTTCACATTTGACATAGACCTTGATTTTATCCTGTTCTGTAGTGCTTCATTAAACGTCTGCCTTCTTCTCTCCCTGTGTTTTGTATTTTTTTTTTTAAGGAGCTGAAAGATTGTTCTGGCCGCGTCTTTGTGGATTCCGCTCCAGAGTTCTGCTTGCCGGAGGTAAGTCTTCACAGGAGCTCTTAATGCTGAATGCTTTTCCTGTTCTAGCAACCCTTTTCCTCCTGGACCTGTAATGTAAAACACCAGAGGGGGCTTGGCTCACTGTTCGGCAATCCCCGCGTTTTCTTTCCGAAGGTGGCTTTCCGTCGGAGGGCTCCTGGGCCATCTGGCTTGCTTGAGAGAAAAATGCACATTTCACAGGAGGAGACGATGGGCTCTTATGGAAATAATGCCTCCTCGTTGGATGACTTTCCGATCCATTTCGCAAACCACTTACAGCTCCTGTGTCAACTGAAAACAAAGCGGAACTGCAAACAGCAGCTCTTGTTTTGAAACCTTTTATTTCATTTCAAGCCTCATAGGAGAGAAAAAGCAGCTTACGGAGTCTACTTATGCCGGGATTACATAATAAACGGAGCATTTTTCAGCACTGCTGAAAGCCCGTTCTGTTTATAATGTTAAAAATTCTTATAATCTCCCTGTAAGGTGGTCCTATATCATTATACCCTTGTTACAGATCTGATGTTTGGGACTAGAGTTCTCGAAATCGCCACCCGGCGTGGCCCTTTGGGGTGGTGAAAATAGTTTGCTGATGGTGGACCTCGCAGGATGTGGGAGATGCACGGAAATGTTAACCGAGCACATGTAAACGCCAGGCCGTGCTTAAGCCAATTCCAAAGTAAACAGTTCTGGCAAAAGAATGGCCTAGTCAGGTATAATAATAAATGTTTAACAGTGTTAAATCAATTCCAACCTCTGCCGACCCTTCCCAGTGTTTTCTAGGTATACTCTGAGGTGGTTTTCCATCCCCTCCTTTCAAGAGTACTCTCGAATTGTGCAGTTAGCCCAAGGCCACACAGGCTGGCTCCTTCTCGTGGGAGGCATGATGGAGAATTAACCTACCAGGTTCCAAATTCACTGAACTTATTTAGCCAGCATCTAGCCTCCTATAATCATCGTCATCATCATTGTGTGCCCTCAAGTCAGTTCTGACTTATGGTGATCTGTTCCAGGGAGAGAGTACTCAGAAGGGGTTGACCCTTCCCTTCCTCCAGGGGGCACCCTGGGACCGCTGTGCAGCTTGCCCAAGGCCACCCAGGCTGGTTCTACTTGAAGGAAGCCCAGTGGGGAAATCAAACTCCCAACCACCTAAACCACTGAGCTATTTTTTTTCTTCCTCTGTCTTTTTTTTAATGTGTTTCCCCTCTTGACTGAAGCATGCTTCTGTGCGTTCTTGAAATACGCACTTCCTCACTGTGTGCATGTTCAAACAGAACTTTTTGTGCTTGAGGACCCAGCTTGCTGGGGGCGGGAATGTGTCGCCTGCATCATTAACTTGTAAACCACCCAGAGAGTGCTTGAAGGGCTATGGGGCGGTAGATATCAGCAGCGCGCTTTGCTTTGGCTGGAATTCCTCGCAGCCTCCGAAATATATAGATTTCCTGGGCAAGATGCTGTTCGTGGCTCCTGACACTTCCAGGAAGTGCAGAATGTTTTTGTTTTTTTAAACAGAGAAATACAAACGTAACACATTTCTTTCCCATTGCTAGACGGGTGTAAGAGCTTTATGTCTGTAATGTGGAACCAAGGTACTTGTGTGTTGATGGATCCGTGTGTTGTGTTCTGTTTCTAATGAAAAGTCATTACCTCCTTTCTTGTTCACACTCTCTTGTTGCAGCATTTTCCTTCAGAGTCTAAAACCTGATTTTTCCCCCCTTTCAATCAGAAGTGGGCAAAACATGGCCCACAGACTTCATGCATCTTTGTTATTCTTTTTACCCATTTGCCTAGAAATTCCTCTTGTGCCTTCAGCATGAAGGTAAGGGCAGTTTTGCTGTGCTTTCCCTTCCCTCTCCCCCCCCCCAAGCAGGCTTGACCCTGAACCCCTTTCCAAGATGTAATTTTAGAAATAATAGCCCCCAGAGAGGGGGGCTTTCTCACATTTTTTTTTAAAAAAAGCATTTTTAGAAGGGAAAAAAGTGTTTTGGAGAGTGGACAGGTTTGCCCCTCGGCTCTTTGCACATTGCCTAGAGTGGCTTTCGAATGTTCCAGCTGCCGCTCTGGCATCTTGAGGAAGTGCAGAAAAAAGCAACCAGCATTTCAAGAGCTCCGTGAAGATGAATAAGCTGTTGAAACCACTTTGCTCTCTTGAGAAGCTGCCTGATCTTTTAAAAACGATCAGCAGCAATCTCATTGTGACAGAAAACCCCACGCAGCTTAATTCAAGGAAGAGGACAAAAAAGATGGTTTGTTTGGGATCCTTTGGGGAGCAGGAGAAAATATGCCAGTGCCTCCCTCTTCTCCAGTCATGGAGCTGCATTTATTGCATTGCATTGCATTGCAAAATGTGACTCTGGTCTTAGGCTGAACGCATGCCTCCTGTCCCTGAAAATAAAAGGGGTGGGGGAAACAACCTGAGATCAAAAACGAATGACCGAAGACCTCTGATATTTTCATAGCCCAGTTGACTAGTTTCTGTATAATTTAGTTTTGGATCAATAGGCTGAGCCATGGGGCCCAGATAATTTTTCCATTTGAGGTCTCCTTAATCCCATTAGCTGCTCTATCCTAACTGAGTTAGAGGTTAAGTTTCTAGTAAGTTTTCCAGATTGACCTCACTAGGGTTTTAGCTTTACCAGGAAATATTTCTAATTCCAGTTCCTCTAATGGGATGTAAAAAGTCTTCTTCTTTTTTTCCAGATTGGGGAGGGCTGCTCCCGAGGATAGGAGCTGAACCTCTGGGTTCAATTTACATGAAACACGTTCTTCCAGGGCAGAGCAGACTAGCTGGCAAGGTAGCACTTCTTCCAGAGCAGAGCAGACTAGCTGGCAAGGTAGCAGACTGTGTTTTGTCAGAGCAAATGATACCAGGCGGCCTAAGGATAGCCGCCTAAGGATAGCAGGGACTGCGTTTGATGATCTCTGAGGTCCCTGCCCACTTCATAGAATCATAGAATCGTGGTAGGGTTGGAAGGGACCTGGGAGGTCCTCTAGTCCAACCCCCTGGGGCGCAAGGCAGGAGACCTCAGACCATCCTGGACCGATGGCTGTCCAATATTTTCTTGAAAACCTCCAGCGATGGGGCACCCACCACATTGGGAGGCAAGCTGTTCCACCGTTTGATGATTTTCACCGTCAGGAAATTCCTCCTGATTTCCGTCTTGGAAGACAGGTTTCCACCCATGGATTCTTGTCCCACCCTCAGGCGCCACGGAGAATCAATCAATGCCCTCTTCCCTGTGGCAACCCTTCAGATCTTGGAAGATGGCTCTCACGTCTCCCTTCCGTCTTCTCTTCGTTCAGCTCAACATCCCTCGTTCTTTGAGTTGTTCTTTGTAGCATTTAGCCTCCAGTCCCCTTATCGTCTTGGGTGCCCTTGTCTGCACCTTCCTTGCCTCGTCAGTCCTGGTTACCCGACAGACCAGGATGCAGTTCCATGGCACGAAACCATGCCCAAATGTGCCCTGACTTTTGTTGCTGTTGGGTCCCATAAAGTGAGCTCTGACTTATAGCAACCCTAGTTGAGTTTCCAAAGGATGGGGGGGCAATTGAAGGAGTGTTGCCTCTTTAAATATCTCCCATCTGCCCCACGAGTTTCCATCACTGAGGAGGGATTCGAACCCAGGTCTCCTGAGTCCTAGCACATCATTCTATCCACTACACTTCTTCTCTTGATGTTCCCATGCGATGCGCCATAAATTTACACTCCCTGCTAAATATTATGTGATCCACCCCAATGCGTCCCTCGTCTTTCTGTATATGGGTGTGAAAGCTGGCCACTCAAGGAAGCTGGCAGGACAACAGAAAGAGAGGAAGACTCAATAATACAAGATGGACTGACTCCCTAAAGGAATCACTCAAGGAAGCTGGCAGGACAACAGGAAGAGAGGAAGACCCAATACCAGATGGACTGACTCCCTAAAGGAAACCACAAGCTTGAGTTCACAAGACCTGAGCAGACCAGTTCTGGAGATTGCTCTTTTATAGGGTTGCCATGAGCCGTCCTGTACCAACAACAGCCGTGTGTCTCCATGAAAACACATTTATTTTAAAATGAGCAAAAGGCCTGTTTTCTTCCTTGAGCTCCCCGGAATGGTCGCCGTTCTGTGCTGTCAGGTGGCTTCTGAGTTGTGTGGATGCTAGGAGGGTTTTGAGGCACGGGAAACGTTCCGTGACTCGGTTCTCATAGCCACCTGTCCCTACCCGGTGGGTGTTCATGGCTGAATCGGGATTTGAACCCAGGTCTCCTGAGTCTTATACTCCCGATCCACCTCCCCTCTCTGTAGAAATACAAAGCAGAGAAAGTGTCCGATGACTTTCCCTCTCTTTGGTCAGATGCAACTGCTGGACCTCTCAACGGTGGATGTGATTCTGATCTCGAACTACCACTGCATGATGGCGTTGCCCTACATCACCGAACACACCGGATTCACGGGGATGGTGTACGCCACGGAGCCAACGGTCCAAATTGGCAGGTGAGGGAAAATCCACTTCACATTGATTTTTTCTCTAATCCCTCTCCGTCCGCCACCAAACGAAGGGAGGCGTATAAAGAGCAACACAGAAAGAGGAAAGCCGATCCTAATGTTCTTGAGAGGCTTTTAAAGGCAGGGTTGACCTGAGGAAGAGGGGAGATGGCTAAGCACAAGGGTATGTGTTTTTGACGCCACATTTCTGGACTTTTCTGAAACAACCCAAATGTTTGGATTTCAAAAACTCCTATGAGTTGCACAACATGGCAGCGGATATTTGTGGAGAACTAGGGTACCTAATTTTGGAAGTTGCCCCCAAACCCTCTGGCCGTGCCACTTGCAGGCTGCCGTCTGAGAGTTTCTCTTCCAGTATCCTGACTCTGGAGGGAGTCTTTATCAGCGATCTAGTCTGGCAGTTGGCAAGCTCTGTTGGTCCAGGGACCAGTTTCTGGCCCCCCAAATCATCTGGGGCCCTCTCGAACCCTTTCATGAAAACTGGAAGTTATAAGACGGTCAGGTGTGGTTTTAAAAATCACCTCTGGCCTTGGTTTTTGAAGTTTATTATTATAATAAAAATATGAAACACAGTCGAAAACAGACAAAATAATAAAAGCATTTACTAGTATTATTGAACAGATACAAGTTTTAACCAAAAACCTATGTATCGGCTAAATGTCGGTGTAATGTATTACAGTGGTGCCTTGCTAGATGATGATAATCCGTTCCACTGAAATCGCTGTTTAGCAAAATCATTGTCTATCGAAAAGCATTTCCCCATTGGAATGCATTGAAACCTGTTTAATGCATTCCAATGGGGAAGAATCATCGTTGTCTAGCGAAGATCGGCCATAGGAAAGC